TCACCGCGGGAGCCGCGAAGAGCAACTCTAGTTAAGCGTGTCATAGAGCTACCGTCACTTTTAGGTTAGGTTCTTGCGGTGCCCGATGTGCGGGCTTGGCGGGTGATGCCAATTAGCCGCTGAACCACCAAGTGAGCGGTCGACACAATGGAGACGTAGCATGTTGGTAAGCACGTGAACCTCGGGAGAAAAATCACCATGTCAACATTGTTCTTTCTGTTGGTTTGCAATCCCCTTACACAAGCTTGTAATTACTTTCATATATATTGTGCTTATGTAGTTGCTCTTGTAATTAGTTAGCTTATGTAGCTCACTAGTTATCTTTTTGATTGTGTAGCATAAAAGGAGCTCCCTTGCATGGCTAATTTGGTTTGTGTAACCTTATTAGTCACATTGCTTAGTTTGTGTAGCTAAGTATTTGCGCTCTCTAATTTGACATTGGTTGCCTTGTTATTGAGCATTGCTAGTGAACTTAGGAGCTTTGTGCTTTTGCTTAATAGAATTGTGTAGGAGCTCTCCGGTGTGCAAAATACTAGTAGCATAGGTTTGTGTGACCTTGCTCCTAGAATTGGATAGGTCAGCTCTAGCTAGCTTGGCACCTTAGTTTCTTAATTAGGATCTTCGCAAGGTGCTAGAGAACATAGATAGAGGGGTGTAGTCTTGGCTAGACCGATAGTTTTAATTCCGCACTTATTTCTGTTAGCCAGCACGATTAAGTTTTAGAAAGGACTATTCACCCCTCTCTAGTCCGTCATCTCGACCCTTCACATGGTATCAGAGCTAGGTCTCTCATTTGTGGTCTTCACCGACCCGAGAGGATAGCGACTTATGGGCTAGATGTTGATTATCCACACATTTTTTATGGCACACACTTTATACGATGGAAAAATTGGATGATATACAATTTTAAGTTTATTTGCCCTCAAATATGGTGGATGGTAGATGTAGGCTTTTCTCACGTGTTGGATGAAGATAATCTAACTCAAGCACAAGAGAAATGTCTAGATCTCGACATCCAAGCTACTAACATCATGTATAGATCTTTGGATGATTGCATATTTGGAGAGATCATTGACATGAAGACCGCCCATGAGATTTGGAGTTATCTCAATGAAAAATATAGGACAGTTTCCAATAATGATGATGATGAGCCCATGGAGGAGGTGCGTGAGGATGTTGAGCATGACCACAATTCGGTGATTGTGGAAGATTCCTCCACCTCATGGTCAAGTGATGATGATGATCATACTACCACAAGATCACTTGACAAGGTTGATGATGATGCCACAAGTGTTGCACATGAAGATTCTAGCTCAAGCACACTTGATGATGATCTTGATGATGTTGGTTCATGCTCAAGCCATGATTGTGATGCTACTACAAGCTCTCCAACTACATCACATTGCTTAGCTATGTTATGTTTCTATCTATTATGTTCTTAGTTTGTTTTGGTAGTATGCTTGATATAGTCATAGTTGATACTAAGTTTATGCATAAGTTCGCAAAGCGCTTAGCTCAGTACTCGAGTGAGTTAAGTGGTCGATATTATATAAGCGTGGTGCTTATATGTCGTTTACCTGTAAATGCACTCTACATTCCGAGCCATGTGGTAGATCGTAAGTGTGACATTCTCGTTGAGTCCTTTGTAGTCCACTCCTCGTCTGTAGAACAAGTAAGACCTAATTGCGAAGGAAGTCAAGCTCTGCTTTTGATTTTCCTTAGTAATATTCCTTATGCGTAGATGAAGAGTTAATTATGCTATAGATGAAAGTATATATGCTAGAGTGTACAAAAGATTTGGTAAATAGGAATGACTTAGGAATCTTTCTCTTATTTTATCACTTAGTCTAGCTATAGTACATTTATGAGTATCTAATTTTATCTCTAGATTATTATCATTGCCTTACACTTATTATATATATCATTTAGCTTACCCCTGTTTAGAGTAAGTCTTTAGTTAATGATCTCATCATAAGTATTATGTTTATCAATATCTCTAGCCACTGCTCCTCCCTATGGTAAAAATATAAATAACAATACCTAGAGTACTTCTAGGTAAAATGCTACAATGGTATATCTATGCGCTTACAAAATTCTTTGTATATATATATTCTTTCCTAAATTACGAGTGCCATTACTAAATACCAACAAGCGCCCATCGAAGCTCTGTCTTTGTGAATGTATGTGTTATGGGTAGTATTGGTTTTAGATCTAGCATGCACCCTAGCGGTGTACGTGTGTGATGTGTGTGGCGTGTGTTTAGTCTACGTTCTGACAATATACAACTTGTACGACCCGTTTTGAGGAATAAAAAAACTTGGTCCATGCAATAATCCGATGAGATAGTCCGTGCAAAGTGGTTGAACAAGTTGAACGAGAATGTAGCAGCATGGTTCGGTCTTTCCCACATGGTAGCTACATCCTATCTAATTAGATTTGGATTTTTTTTGTTTGTACTTGATATAATTGTGAAAAAAATATGCAAACACGTAAAGCATGCTGAAATAAGTTTGCACACACTTTTTTGTGTAAAATACGATCATATATGTCTCTAGTACGAAGACAAACATGTTATCTCTCCAGATTATTTTTAGTGGTCATCATACTGTCTACAGAAATGTTCATGCATGTGTAATCTTGTTTCGACATATGCTGTACATCATGTGTATACATTATATGAATTTTCTCAAGTGTAAAATATGCAAAACCAAAACCAGGTGTAGCTACCACTACCATGGCACACTAGTACAGGACATTTATAGAGGCAGAGGGCCATTTATGGAGGCAGGCAGGCGGTGTAACGCTCTGCAAATCAGTCCACCTATGTAAATAAAAAATAAATTTCAAAAAACAAAAAATGTAGTTTTAAGACTTAAAACCACAACCTCTAATCTTAAGTATTCACTCCCTGCCACTACACTGCACATTACCTTATGAAATTGAAAGATGCTATTTTCATATTAACTTTAAGAATTTTGTATTGAATATTTCAGCCCTTAAATGATTTCAAATGAAAAAAGTGTCAACTACAAACTTTTAGATGTCATCAGGATCTACAATTTTTGTATAGGGGTGTCTCCATCCGAAATAGTTTGAAAATTTCAAAATTTTGATCTCAAAATATGAGAATTTTGAAACAAACTTTTGGCACTCAAAATGTTTTTAAATAAAAGACTTGTAAACTAAAATATTATAGATTGCATTGACAACTATAACTTTGGTATAGATGATGTCAACATATGAAATCATTTGAATATTCTAAATTTTAAAATTTGAAACTTAGAACATAAAATGAATATATTTAGGTCTCTATGACTTCAAACTTAAAAAGTGTTAAGTACAAAGTTGTAGATTGTATTTAGAACTACAACTTTATATTGATCATGTCAACATTTGAGGTTGTTTAAAAATTCTAAATCTTAAATTTCAAAACCTAAGAATTTAAATGAATTTTGAACTCTGCATGTTCCTAATAAAAAACCTATCAACTACAAAGTTGTAAATCGCGTGAAGCCCTGCAATTTCGGTATGAAGTATATCTTCATCTGAGTTCATCTTAAAAAATTATGAATTTTTCTGGACAACTATTCTTAGAGACAGACCCCTTAAACATGTGTCTCGATTAATAGCTATTTTCAGAGGTGGACATTTTAAGAAGGCCGCCTCTCTTATAATCAATTAATAGAGACGGTCTTCTTATGATGTTCTTATCTGTAAATGATTAGCAGAGACAGAGCATTTGAGGACGTCCGTCTCTATAAATAATTGATTAACAGTGGCGGTCTCTTCGCCTCTATAGATGATTAATAGAGACATGCCATTTGTCTCAGATCCACTTAACCATTTGCAGAGATGGCTCATAAATATACCAGCCTCTGCTAATTAGGGTCCTGTGTCTTAAAATGTTTTTTTTTTCATTGGTGGGATGTGCAAAATATGTAGGGAAGAGCTTCAATAGAATGCATGGTTGACCAAGTAAACGCCTATGGTACAAGCTGCATTACTGAGAAATTCAAAGCTATGGGGCTCGCCATCATGTCCAGTGCTGTATTTTTCGTGAACAGCGCTGGATCTGGATGAACTTGACGGACGCCTAGACTTGACCCGCATGCAGCGCTAGTTGCCTGCAGGTCTCGTCTTCTATGCGTCCTTCTTCTCTAAATGACAAAGAGAGCAGAGGTGGAGCGCGAGCACACATAGACATAGTTATATATACAGAGCAGCCATGCCTACCATCCACACGTTCGTCCGTGGCCTCCTCATCCTTACACTGCATCTGCATGCTATTCCTCCTGGTACTGGTGCAACTGCAAGAGACGACGACGACACTCTCTGATGCCAGGCCAGGCGTTCACCGTGGGCAACAAGCTCGTCTCCAGCAACGGCAAGTTCGCGTTGGGCTTCTTCCAGCCCAGATCCGGCAACATGAACAAGCCGTCGTCTACCTCTCCCGGTTGGTACCTTGGCATATGGTTCAACAAGATCCCTCTCGTCACTCCCGTCTGGGTCGCCAACCGGGAGAGGCCAATCTTGGAGCCCTGTCTAAGTGAACGCAGCTCCAGATCTCAGTAGATGGCAACCTGCTTGTCATCGTCTCAAACAACGCCACCACCACACAAACACAATCCGTCGTCATCTGGTCCACCCACATAGCAAAAGCCAACAACACGGCAACCTGCAGAACCATCCTCAAGAACAGTGGAAACCTTGTCATAGAATCATTAGAAAACCCCTCGTCCAATGCCACGGCGATGGTGTGGCTGTGGCAGAGCTTCGACTACCCAACCAACGCGTTGCTCCCCCACGCCAAGATTGGCTGGAACAAGGTCACTGGCCTCAACCGTGTGGGCATCTCATAGAAGAGCCAGATAGACCCAGGCCTCGGCTCCTTCCGCGTTGGGCTGGAGACCAACGCCACCACCAGGAATAACGTCACCATCAGGCGCCGGATCTACCCCTACAAGACCTACTAGTGGTGGTCGCCGGACGCGGCAGGAGGGATGAAGATCCCGGCGCTCAGGGCGCTGCTACACATGAACCCGCAGACCAGTGGGCTGGTCGTCCTGGAGTACGTCGACAACAGCGAGGAGGAGTACTACATGTACATCTCGCCGGACGAGTCTTCCACCTTCTTCTCCATCGACACGAATGGCCAGGTGAAGATGAACATGTGGTCACACGCCAACCAGTCATGGTACAGCATCTACGTCCAGCCCGTGGACCCCTGCAGTCCCTACGCCACCTGCGGACCCTTCACCGTCTGCACGGGGAGCTCACGCCCGCCCTGCGAGTGCATGGAGAGCTTCTCCCGGACGTCACCCCAGGACTGGGACCTCGGTGATCGGACAGGAGGGTGCTCCAGAAACACTCCCTTGGACTGCAGTGGTGCCAACACCGGCAGGCGGCAGCAGCAGTTCGACGGACGTGTTCCACCCCATAGCTCGTGTCACGTTGCCCTATGGTCCCCAAAGCAGCCTGCATACTATGACCAGGAGCGAATGCCAGCGAGTCTGCCTTAGCAACTGCTCCTGCACTGCTTACTCCTACCAAGGCACCAAATGCTCTGTCTGGCACGTCAAGTTGTTCAGTGTGAACCAGGATGATGGCATCGAGATCAGCTCTAAAGATTCAGTCTACATCCGCCTCACCGCCGGAGATTTTTCAAGCTTGACCCGAGCCGGTATGACAAGAAAACCACTACCTATTGGAGCCATTACTGCTGCAAGCGCAACCGGTAAGGATGAAAACGGTCGAACTCGGTCGAAAAACTCCTCAACCGTTTTCTACTTTTACATTTGAAATACGAAAGCGAAAGCGAAAGCGGACAAGCCGGACACGAAAACGAACACGAACTTACGGAATATCTAGAATTTCGGAAACGAACTAATTCGAGCGGAATTATGTCAAACACGGTCGGTATGCGAAAATTCAATACGAAATACCGACCCACAGTGCATAGCATTAAACAAGTGCACGACCAAATACATAACAAGTTCACAACTAACAAGTGCATGATCTAGTTCAACTGCATAGCATTAAACAAGTGCATGGCCAAATACATAACAAGTCTAGAACAAGCAATTAACAGAACATGAACATCTACAGTTCATCGGCATCATTCATGATGTCAGGATCACTTTCCATGTCTTTTTCTTCCTCATTGTCCTCCTCAGCGTCCTCTTCCCCCTCCTTGTTATTGTCCTACAAGTTTGCAAAGTGAATTAAAATTAGATGTAGCAACCTGATCTTGGGCTAGAGTTCTGTTTCGGGCCGTGATGCCCCTTGGCCCAAATAAGTGGCCGGACGATCTCATGCGTCCAAATTCATCCAATGGTCCAGATTATGCTCACCTGAGATAAATGAGCCTCCTAACCCTAACTCCTCAACACCACCCACAGCCGCCGCTCTCTCTTCTCTCTTCGACTCCACGCCTCCTCCTGCGACTCTCTACGACTCCTCCTGGGGTGGCGCGGCCGCGGCACCTGCCTACTCCCGCGGCGGCGCGGCGCGGCCTCTGGCCTGCTCGCTTGGCGATGCGGCGCGGTCCCCCGCCTGCTCGCGCAGCAGCCCGGCGCGATCCCGCCTGCTCGCGCTATGGCAACGGCGCGTGCGGCCGTGCAGAGGCGCTGCGGGGCAGCAGCCATGACCGGAACCCTAGCCGCCGGCCGAAGGGGTGGCCGCCCTTCTTCTCCCTAGCCGGATGGACGACGGGGTGGCTGCCGTTCTTCTCCCCAGACCGGATCGACAACGGGATGGTCACCCTTCTTCTCCTCCACCCGGATTCGTGACGAGTCGGCCGCCATTCTTCTCCTCCGGCCAGATCCGCGACCTACAAACAAGCTATTGCGCGGCCACCTCGTCTGAGGCGCACAGGAGGCCGGCTGTACTGCTATGGCGCACCTTTGCGTGCTCGACCAAATTCGGTTCGAACCGAATTTAGAATACGGAAGACTCCGAATAAAATGTAGAAAACTAGAAATCGGTCGAACAAAGCCTAAACCGAATTCAATCCGATTTCGAATTTAGTATTTTGTATTTCGAATTCGAATTTAGTATTCCGTATTTTGTCCGAAAATACGAATTCGCTCGGGTCAAATATAGAAAACGATGCGATTCGGTTCGAGATATTTCCTTTCCGTTTTCATCCTTAGTAACCGGTTCTGGGGTGCTGCTAATCGTCGTACTGATGATCTCAAGGAAGAAGAGGTTCAAGTACTGGTGTGGTGTGTCATCACCGGCGCCAAGCAGTCAAGCTAGTGTTGGAGTTGTTGTTTTCAGCTACGCCGATTTAGGTCGTGCTACAAGGAATTTCTCAGAGAAGCTGGGAGCAGGAGGCTTTGGTTCCGTATACAAGGGAGTAATAAGTGGCCTCTCTACCGTAGCGGTGAAAAGGCTTGACGGTGTCCGCCGGGGAGAGAAGCAATTCAGGGCAGAGGTGAGTGCACTTGGACTCATCCAACATATCAATCTGGTCAAATTGGTTGGTTTCTGCTGTAAGGTGATAAGAGGCTGCTTGTGTATGAACATATGTGTAATGGTTCTCTTGATTCCCATCTCTTCCAAAGGAATGGTGCTGCGGCTGTCCTAGACTGGAGCACCAGACATCAGATAGCTATTGGGGTTGCTAGAGGATTGTCCTACCTGCATCAGAGTTGTCGGGAATGCATCATACACTGTGACATCAAGCCAGAAAACATGCTTCTCGATGAATCCTTTGTACCTAAAATTGTAGACTTTGGGTTGGCGTCGGTCATAGGCAGGGATTTTAGCCGGGTTCTAACTACATTTAAAGGAACTATGGGGTATCTTGCCCCAGAGTGGCTCAACGGGGTTCCTATCATGTCAAAAGTTGATGTTTATAGCTTTGGCATGGTATTGATGGAAATCGTATCAGGAAGAAGGAATGCATCTATGGTATCAAACACTACCAGCATGGACCATGTTTCTTATTTCCCTGTGCATGCCATGAGCCAGCTTCATGAGGGAGATGTGCAGAGCTTGGTGGATCCAAATTTACATGGAGACTTTAGCTTGGAGGAGGCTGAGAGGGTTTGCAAAGTAGCATGCTGGTCTATCCAGGACAATGAGTCTGACCGGCCAACAATGGGTGAAGTAGTTCGAGTTTTTTAGGGTCTACAGGACCTTGATATTCCTCCCATGCCAAGACTGCTTGCGGCTATTACAGAATGCTCCAGTGTGGCTGCAATGTAATAATTCTAAATAATTCTAAAGTTGAAGCTACTTTTATTTATTTCAGCAAATTATGAAGTTTTGGTGTGGAGCGTGTGACTGCCCAAAATATTAAATAAATATTTTCTTTCTTGCACCTTGGAATTCTTTGATCTTTTACGGGATATTGAAGACAATAATTTAATGCATAAACTAAAATATTAATATGTAGCTCAACAAGGCACAAGTATGCCAACTAAGTGCCAAACACTAAAGGTCTGTTTGGATGTAGATATTGGACAGCTGACATTGAATTGAGTTTCAATGCCAAATCAGACCGGTATTAAAAATGGGCAGCAATACCAAATCAGCATGTACATGAAATTGCTATTTAGAATCTCCAAAAGCTACTGGGCCATTCATTCACGGATCCCCTTTTCAACCCCGCACGAAGTAGCTCAATATGCATCACCGCCGCCGCCGCAGGTCCGTTCGTCGTAGCTGCAGCCTGTGCTAGCCCTCTCATTCCCCTTCCCTCCCCCATCCGCGCACATCGATGTACAATAGTGAGGCCGCTCCTTCCCCTTCCCTACCAAAGCAATTCCCTTGCGCTTGTGCGTGCATGACCAGAGGCGGCAGGATGCATCGCCACAGCTGCTGGAAGCGTGGAGGCGCCAACATGGCCGGTACCCGCACGGGTGCTGCTAGACTTGAGGCTTTCTTGCTGGTCTAGCGCCACGACCCGCGCCTGCTGCCGGTGCCGGTGCCGCCGCCGCACTACACTCCCTGCTGCTGACGGACTTGAGGAAGAAGGGGATCCCGACACTCAGTGGTGGCCGGACTTGAGGAAGAAGATGATCCCGCATCTCCTCTGCACGAGCTCTCCTCCGTCCTCCCTAGCGCGACCTCTGGTGGCGGCGGCGGCGGTTGTCGGGATCTCCAGCGGCGGGGGCAGTCACGGGGTTCCTTGGTGCTTCCGCCTTCTGATACTTCTTCGTTGCTTTGGTTTCCCTCTAATACGGAGGGGTTTGCCTCGGTATCGAAGGGGAGCAGTTTTAGTTGTAGTCGAATGCCTTGGTATTGAGGGGTCAATGCCATCTCGCAATGCCAAAGACATCCAAACAGCAGAATTGAAAAAACTCAATTCCAATTCTAAATTCCACGTCTCAATATCTACATCCAAACGGGGTGTAATGGTTATCTGAACTAACAAGATCTCTATTTACAATTTCCATTACAAAAGTAACTCCTTGATACATCGTCTAGTGAGTTGGGAGTGCATCCAAAATGCATTTACATCGCGTTTAGTGGCACTTGTGATCGTGTTGGCTATAGATTCTTTTTATTACTCTAGTTGGTTGCCGCCACCTAGATGGCTTGGAGCAGCGATGATCGTTGAGCGGAGGGTGGTGATCGTCTCCAGCTTCGATCGGTGATTTGTGAGGGGTTCTTTGTATCTATTCCCCGTGGGAGCCACAATAGCTAACTCTAAGTAAATTGCGTGTGACTTGTGTATCTTTATTTGTGGTTGTTTCTTACGGCACCCTTGTGTAGGGCTAGACGTCTAATGCCTATTAGTGTCTGAGATTGGGGGTGGGTTTTTTTCCCAAGTGATAAAAGATTGGGAGGTGGATTTACGAGTTGTTGGAGATGAGTTTTTTTGAGAGGGAAAAACTCCCTCGTCTGTCCCACGTCCAAAGCACAGGTCTGTGGCCGGCTCATTTCACGAAGCTACGGTACCGCTGTGTAAGGGTGGTGTAGGAATTCGGGAATTTTCTCGATCTACGTGAGAATATCTCTTCTTAAACCGGAATACCCGGCGGCTCTCTGGCCACAGCAAATCGAGTTTTTTTTCAATCTTGCTAAAATTGGGAAACTCTTTTAGATAAAGCGAATGTGTTGGAGAACCTGTTTTCTGAATCAGAAAAATACCTTTTTTACAGCTGGGACCGGAATAAATCGGTGACTGAGTCTTGGGAATGCGTTTCTAGAGCACGGAGAAATGTTCGTGACCATCTTCCCGCCACGTGGCGGTGGCGCTGCCCGTCCTCTTCCTTCCACACTCTCCTCGAGCGGTTCGGTTCGGCTGGAGCATTTTCCTCCTGACACTGACAAGTGGGTCCCGACTCGCGTGCAATGCTGCCGCCACCGTCTCTCCTCCTGCTCCGCTCCGGCGCGCCGCCCAGCGCACTCCCCCTGCGGGGGCGGCGGCGGCGGAGTCCCACGCCAGTGCGGGCGTCATGGCAGGAGCTGGCGGGCGTGTTGGTGTTCTCCGCCATCCCCTTCACCGCCGTCAAGGCCCTCGCCAACAGCCCCCTGGGCGCCCGCCTCCGCCGCCGCCTCGAGGACAGGAAGGCCGCCGCAGCTGCCGAGGCCGACGCTCTCCGCGCTGCCGCGCGCGGCGCCCGTAACAACAGGTGCAGTCCGTCCTATTTGCTTCATTAGAAAGGGAAAACAGCATTTGATTTGTCTGAGCTGTAGCTGAGTGGCAACGATTGCAGCTTTTGGTACGGCGGAGATCGGCCGCGGTGGCTTGGTCCCGTGCCTTACGAATACCCTGAGCATTTGACCGGAGAGTATCCTGGAGATTATGGGTTCGATATTGCAGGTCTGGGCAGGGATCCAGTTGCTTTCGCAAACTACTTTAAGTATGTCACCGTTGTTCCTTTCCTTCGCATCAGTTACTTATACTGTCTTTTCTTCCCCTTCCCGTTATTATACTGTCTTCTTTTCTTCCAGTTAATTATACCGTCTTCTTTAAGTACTAACTAGCAGTGGAACAATAGCTTGTTTATCTTCTTCAGGTAGTTTTAGGGTGCTCCTAGTACCAAAGTGAAGTATTCCTTACATTAATTGGCAGAACTATACCATCTTTTTCAGTACCCGCCTGTTGTCGTTGACTCGTTGTTTAACTTACAGGCAATATATTGTTGTGTTTGTCCCTATCCTGAAACGATTGAATATTTGGCAGTCCTTAAGGGCTACTTTTGCGTTGCACAGGCTACTTTTGAAGGGCGGGCCTGGTGCAAGCGGTAGAGTCTTACCGCCTGTGACCGGAAGGTCCTGGGTTCGAGTCGCGGTCTCCTCGCATTGCACAGGCGAGGGTAAGGCTTGCCACTGACACCTTTCCCCAGACCCCGCACAGAGCGGGAGCTCTCTGCACTGGGTACACCCCTTTTAAGGGCTACTTTTGCTTCTGAAATCATGATGTGAACCTTTTTCCATTGGAGCTTGTTAATCCCTTTGATTTCTCTGCACCATTCATATTTTCCAGGTTCTGACCAACAATGATTACTGCTTTTCACAACTTCATGAAATCAATTATGTTTCTGAAATTGTGATATAGACTTTCTTCACTTGTGCTAGCTTTGTAAGTGCTTTGCGTTTCTCTCTACTTTCCTAGTTCTGACTTCTGTCCAACAATATTACCTTGCAGCTTCGAGATCTTACATTGTCGGTGGGCCATGCTTGCTGCTCTCGGTGTTGTTATTCCTGAGCTATTAGATCTATTTGGGTTAGTGCATTTTGTTGAGCCTGTCTGGTGGAAAGTTGGTTATGCAAAACTTCAGGTACAATGCTGGTGTTCATGTTTTTCAATTTCAAATTTGTGTAGAACAAATTGATAATTCCTAGAATTGAATTGTACAAACCTGCAGTTTTTAAGATTAAATCTGGCATGTTACAATCATAAGAGGTAGGGTTCTCTGTCATTTACTTTTGCATGATTGATCCATTCTATTTGCTAGGCAAATAGATGTTCAGCATCTGATGGCTAGTTTTCATTTCTCTCTGATGAATCATCTGCATTGCTGCAAATTCCAGATCTGGAAAAGAACCGGCCTGTTGCCCTCTAATCCTCTATGCAATGCATGGTGGCACGTCCTGGCAAAACTAAAATCTCAAAATGCTGGCACATCAGCCATCAGCCATTTTACTTGTATTGGGAGATGGAACAGTAGCGGCCGATGAATACACATGCATGCTCTACTATCAAAATCAGGATTTTATTTATAGTTGATGCACTATCATTTTGCTGTGTTGTTTCACTGTGGCACCTAGAACTTTTTAGATAAAGAGTGGCACCTAAAACTGTCATGAGAATCAAACTTAGGAATCTTAACGGAAACTGAGAAGACAGATTTGAAGGTAAAATTTTATCAAATCTGCAATAAAGAGCAAAGGAAATTACTTAGCAAAACTGTTCAAATAACGTTTCATTTTATATTATTATCTTTAAAATGTTATTGAGTGGACCGTAAAATTGTGTCAATATAGCATGTACTCCAGCTCCGCTACATCTGTAATGTTTACAGAAATTTTGTAAGGAAAACTATACTATTTTTTATATTTATAAAATATATATTCTCAACATTGTCCTTTTCGTCTGGTATTTTCCGTTTAACTGTTGGCTCAATTATACAGGGTGATACCCTTGATTACCTTGGGATTCCTGGATTCCTAATTGCTGGTGGTCAAGGTGTCATTGTAATTGCTATCTGCCAAGCCCTCTTGATGGTAATACTGTCCTTTGTAACAACCCCCCCCTTCTGTACATGAGTGATTCATTTGTTGCTGATGCCTAAACAATTTGAGAACATAAAGACCTGCTCCATGGAAATTCATTGACCTTGTAAGGTACTCCCTCCATTTCACTCTGTCCATGGCCTTGGGAGAATATGTCCAATTTTCATCATCAGTATAGTTATTGCAATATTTCTACTCCATAATCCTAAATAAGTGCTTTGAAAGATGAGAAGTGGTTGTATCAATGTTATAAAATAGAGGTATGTATGAATATTCATCGTACAGTTTTTTTTTTTTGGAACTCATACTTACTTGGTTAGGCAATCACCATAGAGTAAAACTAAGGGAGTACCATGCATTTTCTTTTAAAAAAATGCTTGCAAACACTTTGGAAACATAGACATTCACTTCACAAAGATTCTTCGTCTTTTAAGAAT